AATCTTAATAATGACCAACAAAATCTAAGTAGTGCACTATGTTTTAACTTTAATTTATCTCACTACAATTGATTGAGATAGGCTTCGTTTGAGACGACTTTCTTAATGCTTCTTAAAGCAGTCTTTTAATTCAAAATTTAAATTTTTTGCACTAGAAAGCTACTTTAAGAAGCAGTAAGAAAGCCGTCCCAAACGAATCCTAAGGCTTCGTTTGGGACGGCTTTTTTATTACTTTTTAAAATGGAGTTTTAGTACAAAAAAAAAAATTGTACTAAAACTCCGTTTTAGAAAGCAATAAAAAAGCCGTCCCAAACAAAGCCTTAGTTTTCGTTTCGGACGATTTTCTTGTTGTTTCTTAAAACAACTTTTTAGAATAAAAATTAAAAAATTTAAACTAAAAAATTGCTTTAAGAAGCAATAAGAAAGTTGTCCTATACCAAGGCTTAGGCTTTGTTTGGGATAACTTTTTTATTGTTTCTTAAATCAACTTTTTAGCACAAAATTTTATGCTAAAAAACTGTTTTAGAAAACAATAAAAAAACTTTTTTAAACGAAGTCTTAGGCTTCGTTTGAGACGGCTTTCTTACTGCTTCTTAAAGCAGTTTTTAGTACTAAAAACTGCTTTAAGAAGCAGTAAGAAAACCGTCCCAAACGAAACATTAGTGTCTTATTACTACAATTAAAGAGTGCTAGCCCTCGATCAAGAATTCATTCAAAGTTCGCTACTAGTTATCGAATACAAGCCAAACTTCCCATGTATACAATTAGTTTCATCAATAGCAAATTCTGTAACCCCGACTTTGCTCATCATCTACAAATAAGTTGCCATCGATCGAGCATTGACATCAAATACTCTTTATCTTTGATAAAATCAAACACAAAAAGCTATTTTTTCTCTAAATTCTTTCATTATCAAAGGATTTGATCAAATCTTTTGTAGATCAATTCATCATCAAAAGAATCATTGGAACTAATCTCTCTCCTATCCTTCTATTATTTTTGTTTGATCTCTAGTAGGGTCCAAACATCACAAGAACATTGGATCCAACAATGATGATTCATGCCTACATCATTTTTTTATTATCTTAATAATTTTTTATAATATCATGATTGTACCAACATAATATTTAAGTCAACATAGAGTTTGAAATATATTGAAATATCCCCTCTATAGCTATCACTATAATATTGAAATAATTTATTATCTTCTTACGATATAAATAAAATAAAATTTATATGTGAGGGGATAATCTAAATTATAGGTTAGAAATAATAATTATTTTTAATAAACTAATATGTATATAACTAGACACTTCAAAGTATTCAAACAATTCAAAAAATAATAATTCGGTTTGTGCTGGCCAAAGTAAATTTAATATTTTTTATAAAAATAAATAAAGTATTCTACAAACTTATAGATAATAAAAAAAAAAAAAACATGGCCTAAAATAAGCCTATTGAGAATAGGCGATAATTTAAATTTTGATAAAACCTTTAGTGACTTTGTCTTTAGAAAAAATGATAGTGTATGTGATTACATAAATTTTAATTTAGGAGAATTATTCTTTTATATTTTGATATACAATAGTCAGAACTATTTAATTTCTTTTATCAATATAAATACCATCATAAATAAAATTATCGATAAATTTTTAATGTATAAATACGTATTCATTTCCTCAAAAATTATGAGCACTACTCAAGGTTTAGATAATCTTATCACAATTATTCTATTTTGAGTATAATATAAAAGTTAAAATTAGTATTTTAATCATATACTTAGTATATCACATGTTCAGTATATCACATGCTCTGTATTATTACAATATCGTTAGTAAAACTGGTGGCAGTATTAGTAAAGCAATGCATTAACAGTAAATTCATACAATAATAGTAAATCAATAAATAATAATGGTAAAAAATAAATAGATAAATTACATGTATTTCAGTAGTCACACTAAATAAGCAAGAAGTCCTAGTTTAAGCGGTGTTTTTCCAGTAAGTACTTAACCGTATCAAAAATAATGTTGGCTTAGTAAACATAGTTGCTACTTTTTGCTCGTCGGCATATATAGTTATAACTCCTTATAACTCTTAATCAACATCACATTAATCAATAAAGGGTAACACCAAGCTATAGTACTTAGAGGAAAACTTGTTCGCTCACCATTCTATACAGGTCAATCAGTCTCCAACGAACATCAATAAAATCATATTTTACTTATTCTCACATTTATTATTATCACATATTTTTAAGAATTCTCCAAGGAGGTTATAGTAACTAGTCACTGATCTCCATTGTTAGATAGGAACCTCCTTTACATTAAAAAAAAATTTGTAGTTACTAAGAAGAAAAACTAGAGAGGAAATATAACTCACATCAATGACATGAGATAGCATAGTAAGTGCTTGATGATTGTCATATTGGAGTCCAAGATTGAGATAAAAACATATTAAGTTTGTGAACAAAGAAGGTGATGTCTGCGTGTGATAAAGTAAGATATAGAAGTCACTTTATTAGATATCAAAATTGTGAAGCTAGATTAAGTCCATCTCTGTCAGATGCACTGAGTTTGTTGTTAGGATCCATAAGAATTTATGTCGGCCTTTTAGCAAAGTATCATGCATCTTCTAGTAATTGTAATATGTTGTTGTTGAGATTAAATGATTCCCTTATTAGCTCGTGCAATTTCAATGCCTAAAATGTTTTCCAAATATCTCAATATGTGAGTTTGTATTGAGTGCTAAAAAAGAAAACTTCCTAGAGTTGATGATAGTGATAGAAGCCTTGATGATGATAATGTTATCAATGTACACCAATAATTTGATAAATATCACAACAATCCTTTTTATGAATAGTGAATATTCATATATGGATTGAGAAAATTTGAAAAGTGCAATAATAACCATCTTGGCGAATGTCAAGACTGCTTTCAATAAATCGACCTTTTCTTTTGTGTATATCATTTTGGTACAAGAAATCCCTATTGACTTTGAAATTTTTCCATTAAGCCCCATTAGAAGCTATATCACATTCCATTTAATATTGCATAGAGCTAATTACTTTATTTCTCCGTAGGTACAATTTCTATAACAACAACATAATGATTTGTAATTATTTAACTCCTCCCATAGCTTTTTTTAATTTTTTGAATTATGTGGCAACATAACATTGAAATTATAACGTATTTGAAAATCTTTGGTTCATTATGATGTTGAACTCTATCACGAAGATCGACCCAAATTTCTTTCGGTGTACCAGAGTAGAGGATGCTAGCGGAGATTTCTTTAGATATCGAACTCAATATCCTTTAAATAATTATTTAAGTAATTTTATTCATGCATTAATTAGGTTAAGATCAATGCCTTATAACTCTTGGATATGTCTATTAATGAATTTGAGCTTATTCTTGGCTACCAAGACTATGTTCATGGTATAGCTTTAGGAGGCATAGTTAGCAATGGTGAGCAACAATGAGACTTTGGAAACGATGGAGATAGTATAGGCTATGAAGGCCATCGAGGATCATGATGTAACCAAAAGAATGCCATGGAGACGCCATGGATAAAGAAGCAAATTCTAGAATAAAAAGAAGTTCTAGCAAAAAGGATTGTTGCTGTGAAGGAAGGTTCTCCTGAAAAACCAGACAGAGGAAGGTTCTCCTATAAAATCAGAGAAGATTTACGCTTCGTTTGGGGCGGCTTTCTTATTGCTTCTTAAAGCAGCTTCCTAATATAAAATTTAAAAATTTTGTACTACGAGGCTACTTTAAGAAGCAAAAAAAAAAAACTGTCACAAACGAAGCCTTAAACAACCAAAAAGGAGAGAGAGAGATGCCAGAAGTGACTCGTTCTTAATCTCTGATTGAATGAAGCCAAATGTCATCATCTATTAGGGATCTAAAATACATGCATGCTCACACTACATGGCGATGTGATCTCAATCAAGAAGGATACTTACAATTATGTGCGAAACGTCGATAAATTTTGATGAGATTTCAATCATCTCATCAAGCATCCATGTAAATATTATTTCATGAAGTTATTCACTACCATAAGATTGTCTATTTGAGACTGCTGCAGCATTTTATAAAGGTGATTATAAAATTATGATGGGAAAATAATTTTTTCTAAAACCGCCACAGATATTATAAATATATTTTTAAAAAAATAGCTTCCCACTATAAAAATTTTAAAAAAAAATAGCAATAAAATATTAAAAAATAATAGTCAATCTAAAAATCAAAATATTGAGAAAGCTATTCCAAACCAACCTTAAGTGATACTTTGAAATAACAGCTCAGGATACTGTCAAAGGCTTCATCATAGGAGTTCAAGAAAAAAAAAACATAGAATTTTTGGATTTACTTTAGACAAATGAGAACATGCCAAGGCCAAATTTCGTACTTCATAATTTGGTATTATTATTCAGTGATATTTTTATATGATATTAAATTAGCTCCAATGAATTTTTCCTAAAAAAAATGCGCCAAAATTATTTTTCTCACAAAGATTATATCCCCGAAACTATTTTTATCAAAAATAGTTTGCTACCTCGATGAATAACATGAAAGAAGAAATCCAAGTGACACTAAACCAATTTGATTTCAAACAGCAATAAAACTTTTGATCAAACAGCAATATAAAAAATTTGTTTGAACTAAAACTTTTTGTGCTAAAAATTGCTTTAAAAATCAGTAAGAAAGTTGTCTCAAATGTTCGGCTTCGTTTGGGACGGTTTTCTTACTGCTGCTTAAAATTGCTTTCTAGTATAAAAATTAAAATTTTTATACTAAAAAACTACTTTAAGAATCTATAAAAAAACCGTCCCAAAGAAAACTGAAACCTTGGTTGTTACCAACTCTCAGCAGCAAACACCTTCAAGGCATACTTGCAAATCAAAGACATGGAAGAACGGCAAAAACCATTTCAGCAATATCCCTAAAATACAGTAGCAAAAATCAATACTTTCCCTATATCACCAGTATCAAATATATGTATATATTAAAAAGAGCCGTTAAACTAGTTCAAAATGTAAAGCATAGTATCAAACACATAATACATCACATTCAAACATAACAAAAAATAACATCCAGGATGCCTCCTTGTAAGGTCATCCATACATAAGCTACAAAATTTGACATATAAGATGAACACTCCTTTAAGTTATCAACAACAACAATAATAAATCACAAACCACACAGTTTAATACATAAATATAAAGAGATTATTAAGATTTTGGAAAGGCCTAACCAGTTTCTAAAAGCAAAAACCTCAAAGGAGGTCAGCAACATTGGATGGCAGTTCTTCAATGATAACATTGTAGAACCTCTGTATGTCAGCCAGCATTCTCTCATCATCATTGGTGACGAAGTTGATAGCCACACCCTTTCTTCCGAACCGCCCACTACGACCGATACGATGAAGATAATTTTCAGGTTGAGTTGGCAAGTCAAAATTGATGACCAATGAGACCTGTTGAACATCGATACCGCGGGCAAGGAGGTCAGTGGTGATGAGAACACGAGAAGAACCAGATCTAAACTCCCGCATAATAATATCTCTCGTGTTTTGATCCATGTCACCGTGGGTGGCCGATACTGTATGATCACTGCTCCTCATCTTGTCGGTGAGCCAATCCACTTTGCGCCTAGTGTTCACAAAAATAACACTCTGAGTAATGGCCAATGTTTCATAAAGATCACAAAGGGTCTCAAGCTTCCATTCTTCCTTATCAACATTCACATAGAACTGTTTTATTCCTTCCAAGGTCAGTTCATCTCGCTTGACAAGGATCCTTACAGGCTTGTTCATGAATTTGCGGGTAATCTCCAAAGCCTCAGGAGGCATTGTGGCTGAGAAAACACCAACTTGAACTTTTGATGGAAGCAGCTGGAAGATGTCATAGATCTGAAATCGATACTTAAGTATTAAAATGTGATAGAAGCCTTACAAAAACCAAAGACAATCTGAGATAGAAAATGAAGGGGAAAATGCTTATAATTAAACGTAATATGGTGCACATATATTAAAAGATAAGGGACAGCAACTAGGATAAAAAAAATACCATGTAAATAACTAGTTTCATGTGAGATGAAAACAATATACAAGAAAACCAAGGTAATAATAAGCCACATTATTCCCGGGCTAAGTATTTGATATCCAGGATTTCCTTAATCTTCAGCAGATATCAGAATTCTTGGTTACATTTGCAAATTTTACCTCCAGGCCCCGGGGCAGAAATCATATGGGGAATTCCTCGTAAAAATTTCTGGCAGTACTATCACCACCATTTTTCAAAGTGAGATTTGTGTTCACAGGTAGATATCATTGATCGAGACTTATATTCAGATTTCAAAATATAAGTCATAATGCAATATGGGTGGAAAGAAGAAATTCCTTATAGAAATTCTATAAGGAATTCCTTACATGATCTGTCACAGATCTAGGCAAGCTAATATAACAACAAATGAAGAAAAATTAAGTCGCTTTACAAAGAAAAAGACTTGTCTTTTTATGTAAAATGAGAACTTGTAGAACTAATTAATAGTAAACTGATCATAATAACAACTGCAAGAAAACAGAAGATGCAAAAAATAAAATAAACAAGATAATGACACCAACAAATACAACAAGATAGCAGAAACAGAACCAGTCTCCAAATAGAAGACTGTAAAAAGATACCTGGTCCTTGAAACCTCGTGAAAGCATCTCATCTGCCTCATCCAGTACAAACATTTTAATATAATCAGGACGGAGCGAATGCCTTCGCAACATATCAAACACCCGACCAGGTGTGCCGACAACAACGTGAACACCACTGGAGAGAATCCGCTGATCCTCACGAACACTGGTTCCTCCAACACAAGCATGAACCTTCACACCAAGGTAATCCCCAAGTGCACGCATTACCTTTTCGATTTGCTGTGCTAATTCTCGAGTTGGTGCAAGAACCAGAGCTTGACATTCAACTAAGCCATAATTAAGCTGCTGTAAAATTCCAGAACAAAATGTAGCTGTTTTTCCAGTCCCAGATTGAGCTTGTTGTATCACATCATGTCCCTTACAGAAAGGAACAATTCCTCTTTGTTGAATTGCAGAGGGTTTTTCAAAGCCTGTAGAGATGTGAAAATGCTAGATCAAAGTTGCAAGCAGTACCAAACCCCGTGAATTGCCAATAAATTTCAAAAAAACATAAATACCATAGCCATAAATGCCTCGTAGTAGGTTCTCTTGCAGGCCCATGGAATCAAAACTATCATAAACTTCATCATATGAAGTAAAAAAATCCTGGCCATCAAGCCTGCACCCACCATCCAAAGTACAAACGAAGTGAAAATATAGTTAATTGAATGCAAAATTGACAAGATATTGAATAACAAAAGTGGAGAGGTGTAATCTACTAACAATTCATTCATTTTTGAATCATACTGCCGACTGTCATATTGAGATCCTTCTGGTGCTTGCCCTGCCATGTCTGTAACAAGAATGCTAATGGCAGTGAAAAAAAAGATAGCAACGCATCATGACAATATCAGCAAGTTAAGTCAGACAAAGGGTTTCCAAAAGAAGATGCATAAAAAGGCATTCGCATGGATCATGTCCAAATGCAGGTATTTGGCTTGGTAAGTAAGACAATGCAGAAAAAAGAAAACTAGAAGGGCAAAAGTCAGCAAGAGTAGGTAACAGAGGATAAAACCATGCTGTTAAGAAAGCTTATTTTAAAGCAATTTAATTATTTGGCTTCAAGTTTTTTACTTAATACCAACCCAATGCAAGCTCACAATACGAAATCCAATTATGCCATTATATAATCTCTACACCAAGCAACAGTAAGAACTAATGTATATTTTCTAATGAAACAAACCAAGCACCAACACCAATCACCATAAGTGAAAGTGTGCTACATGTAGCACCAAGCTTTCCATATGTCGCATTAATATGTCTATACAAAGACAACATGCAAGCTATTCAAATTTAACAATCATGATCTACAAACAATAATCCCCAACATGCAAAAATATATACATCCATACATCTTTAGATACAGTTTCTCTTCAAGTCATGATCATAATATAATTAACTTATATCAAAGAAAAAACAAATAAAAACTCTCAGCGTATTATACAACACATGGCATTGCTGCATTATTAGGTAATGGAATTGGCTCATAACATGGCGGTAATATAATGATAGATCTTAAGAGAAAACACTTTCTCGTGTGATATGAATGCACACTCAATGAGGATTGCTATCTTCATATAAAAATAATCAGATTTATCAAAGTACAACATAAAACAATTGCAATATAATAAGATCATAAGCTAATATGCATGATGAAAAATAGGTACAAAGGTACAGTTAAAAAACGTAACCATAGAGACTCTTCTAAAATTAAGGAAATACAACTCGCAAAGGGAAGATTGCCTTTGGAAACCAAAATTAACTAAAACAAATATGCAGATCATCACCATATAGTGATAGGAAAAAAAAAAGTTCACTTCAAAGTGTCTCCACTTCCATGAGCAACTAGCGGTTGATGCCAGCCGTCATCCTTAACTCCTCTTCTACCATCGAGCACATCTAGGTCTACATAACTAGGTCCTCTTCGAACTTTTAAGTGACTTTGTCGAATACAGCAATGACCACTTCCCTACTTGTCAGCCTTGGTTGTCCCTCCTTGACCTAGGACTCAGCAACATTGAGAAGATCTCTGATTGCTAGCTTGATTTTCATATTGTCAATCAATTGGTTCAAGATGAATTGCATCAATAAGTTTCCCTCCATGAAAATTAGCTCTTTTAAATTTAGTACTAATCGAATTGTCTCAACAACTGTCATTTCTAAGAGATTAATATTGTGATGCATAAATGACCTATAGATATGCATGTGGATTGGCAGCCACTCAAGTAGCAAAACTAGGATAAAATAGGGATGCTCCATCTGCAAGATAAGATGTTGATGACCAGAGAAGTCGTCATGTCATTTATGCACCTATGAAGCCTCAATGTGCATCGCCAAGGGGATCTAAGTCGATCTCTTCCTCTAATAGGTACCTCTTTCTCGGCATCAACATCCTCATCCTCCTCCTTTTCATCTCCCTCAATCAAATCGACTAACTTAATATAAACCATTCTCTCACCACAGTGAGAAGGCCCACCAATCAAAATCTTCCTCCACTTCTTCTCCAGAGTTGTTGGAGCGATGTTCGACTCCATCCTTCTGCCATCTCCATTGAACAAATGGTTCAACTCCACTTCCATCCTATGGCAAGCCAAGTTACAAAGGATTAAGAATTCTTTCTTACTACCCCAATTGCAACATTCTCTTGACATGGTTAAGAAAATAAGCAATATTGAGCTCTAACACCTTCTGTTGACCCAAGTGGTGGCAATTAGCAAACAATCCTACACTAAAACATAGAATTACTAGGTCCTCCCATTCTTGATATAAAATATGAGATTGTATGTGCTCACAAAGTTAAGAATTTGGGATTGAAGTAGATGAACCCACATGTCAGACCAAGCAAAAAGAGTTGGATAAGCTTTGCGACCAATCACTTAACCTTATAGTTAGCAAATAGCTTGATGATGATGTGGAATATTGAGAAGGAATTTGGTGTTAATTGTGTAAAGTAATGGGAAGTTGTTGAAGAAGTCGACCAAAAAGCTCCAACTCATGGTTGAGTTATTGGACGAAGAAGCGGATATTTCCTTTAGAACATCAATTGTGGCGTCCCCCAGTTTCCAATAAGAAAATTTTCATGATTGTAGGGAACTAATACTTCTCAACCTTCTTCTTTAACTTCTTCATTGTCACTATAGAGGGTGATAGGGCATCCCCCTTGAAGATCTCAACTAATAAAACCATCCTCAAGTACCTTAGAGCATACCCGGCATCTTGAAGCTGCTAGAAGAACTCTCAATGCACAAGGGTAGAGAAAGCAAAAAGAAGTGCAGCAAAGCTCAAAGTCTTCATATAGCATAAAGGAAAAATATCTTCACCTCCCAAAAGCCATTTAGCATCACTTCTTCTGTATCAATTTAAGGATCTTGATTCTAACTCTTTGCTTGGACTATTGAGGCCTTAAAAGAGTAGGTGGCACAAAGTTTATGATTCTATGTCTAGCACTAAAAGGAGGATTGAAGAGCTAAAAAATGTATGTATTCTTCATTTAGAACAACTATTTATTAAGTTCGAAATGGAAGGGAAAGAGAAATGCCTAATTTTTTGAACTCAATTCCAACCATCCACGTATCATGATGTAGAAAATGGCCACATCAATCAGATTCCTTAGATCTTATAGGACTAACCAAAGATCACTTACTTTGCATAAGGGACGTACCTCAACAATAGCACATCTGACTTGCATTCATTCTCAGGATGCGCACATACAAAATCCCATCCCTTGTCTAGAATAACTATCAATCTCTTCCCATCTAACCTATCTTAGCTACCATCCCATTCCGGCGAGCGTACTCGAAGAACAAAAACCCTCTAGTCAATCTTCATTTGTCGCCTGGCTACCAAACAGCCTACCATTTAAAATTTCTTGTATCATCTGATCTGTAATTCTCTCACGATCTCCAAGGCTCTCATTCTCTCTCCCCTTCTCATCTTCACTTCACGCATAAAGAAAGTATATCAGCTCGATAAATCCTCTTTCAAAATGCTCCTCTCTTCCATGCATTGCTCATTGACCTTTCGGAGAGAATTTTGTGCCACACCTATACAAACCTAGCTTAGCCAACCACTTCCAATGTTAATTCACTTTTGCTTATGGAAGACCAACCAAGTTTCTCCATAGTTATCATCCTTCATCAACAATCAATCACATGTTGTCGTTGAAAATTAATTGATCTCCTTCACTTACAAAAAGTTGAATTTCCTAGTGTCTTGATTTATCAAAGTCGATGTTATACTACTATTAACATCTATAATTGTAAAACACCATCTTTTAATAACATCTTTTAGATTTATTTCTATTGTTAAAAATCTTATATTAACATCCCCTCAATTATTCAAAAGGGGGCTAAACTATGTTCTTATTCTATGCCCAAAGTGAAATCTTAAAATCTAAGCTAGGCCTCATAGCTTTTCCATAGTGGTTTTCAACATAAAATGCATTTGATTATCTTATTTCTATGTAAGTTTGAACTTCCAATCTCCTAAGCTAAGACTTTTGTAACTTCCCCTATCTTAATCAATAATTTTAGCAAACAAAACATTCCCATACCCGTCAACTAACCTACAAAAAAAAATTTGTGTGGTCGTTCATGTGCTAAGATCTAAACATGCCTTACCTGAACACCTTTATTGGACTAGTCTATCTCCCTATCATTAGATGAATGGACTTGACTTTGTTGAGGGCCACCCTCCAATCAAATCAACAAAGTCCATTCATCCATTCACAACCAACGCTTGGATTATTCATCTGATTATCCATCAGTTAATGAGTTGAATACCCTAAATAATGCCTTTGGTGGCTCCCAATTTGTCATTTGCAAGTCAATAAATTAGTTTGAAAAACAACATTAACGCAATAAAACGTCCAACATATGTTTGTTAACAAAAGAAAGAATCAAACTCTAGTAGGAACTCCAACATATTCCCTAAGGACAAGATTGACGCACAAAGCAGGGCTTTGCGATAACATGCCATTTGAAGAGCATCCTCCTATTGGCACACAAGAACCCATGCCTTGACAACAAGCTAGCATATTATTGCCGCCAAAGTAGGAAGATGACATCTCCGTCGTTGTGAATGGATCAATAAGACTCGAACACCGAAACGATGCAGACACATTCGAAGAACGATCAAACAAAATAAAATTGTTAAAACGGAAGCACATTCTTAGTCAAAGAAATCAAGAATGCCAATGAAGGAAGAAATTACTTCACCGCAAATTTTATTCACCCGAGTTACAAATTCATTTCTTTTCTAAAAGACCCCTAAAGCAAAGACCAATCGGACTTAGACGAAAGAAGAAAGTTGAAATTACATAAAGGACCCTTAAGAGAAACTTAACTAAATCTACTCATCTTTAATTGCTTCGGCTGCATCACTATCAAATCAGTTATTTAAACTGGATAAATCCTTCTAAAACTCTAATGACATATGCCTAATCTCTAAAGAGCATCTCAAATGTTGTCTCGTCAAAAAGTAACTCTAGTTTGGGAGTGAGAGGCAATTATAGCTAAAGCCATGATAAGGCATTCATATCAAAGTTGGGTAAAATCATAATGCGAGAATATAAAGCTCATGGTGCCCATAAACATGCATATTTGTATTGTATTTCATTATAATTAACTAAAATCACTGCAAAAGCCACATCAAAGTGCATGTTACACATCAACATAGATCCCCATGTAAGGGTTGATCACTCATCCTAAATTATATAATAGTTGAAGACCTTTAATAAAATATTTGTATACCAACTATATAAGTAATGATAAAATTTAGGTTAGGGTGGGGCAATTCAATGTATGACAACCCCTGACTTGCTTCTCCCATTGGTAGACAACCGCAATGACAACACCTTAATAATGTCAAATCTATAGATGACTTCCAAATAATTCATTAAAATAAACTTTAAAAATAAATCAAGTAGTTTCACTTGCATCGTGTTCTTGAGGAAGTCTATTTTTCCCCGAAAAAGAAAAAAAAAGTTTAAAGTAAGCACATTTGATTTACATGAAAAATTAAACCTTTTTTAGCATCCTGAGAACACAAAGGGAGTTCAAGAAGGGCAATAACAATTGCTCTTAAGAAAAACTTTGAAAGTCACAACTCACAAGGAGGCTAAAAAAAAGTATAAACTTGACAATAGGTTCAAGTGCTTCAAGTCTTCCGAACAACAAACCTAAATCCCAAATTGCAACCAATCATTTTCAATGAAAGCAATCTTTCAAAGCTAATGGTGCAGGGATGCATTGCACTGACACTACTCCCATTGTAGACCTATTTTATGTATGAAAACTATAATTTTCTTCCCAAAAAAATTATGGCAGCCAGAGAACTCTTTGCAAACTTAGCTCATAAATTTCAACGAAATTCAACATCTATGCAAAAAATCAACTAAGAGTAGAAGAAAAGGCATGCACGCATTTCTATTCACAAACAAAGCAAATAAAACCTATAAACAACTTGGTGTAATCGAAATCTTCAAGATGCTCCTCCTAAGCCGTCCATCATACAATAAGGGATAGCTTACAAGGTTCCCACTCATAGTCAACATACCAGTTCCCTATCATCAACAGTTCAGCACTATTCAACACAGTTTTTTTTTTAAATGCAAACTTCTACCTACACCGATCATGACATTGAAGGTGGAGTTTCATAGCTCATTCCAGATAAGCATCAACCAACGACACAAATATACCTCGCCGAGCTACAAAGAGGCCTACAAGATACTTCATTTGGAGGTTATCGACCTGTAATTAAGGAGGGCTCTAAGGAATTGTCCAGAGAAATCTTCCCTTCATTGGATTTTATTTTGGTCAATTATCCAACCTTTGAAAAGGAAAACTCTACTGAAACTTGGTTAAATTCTGGTTAAACTCTATCATAACTCTTTCAAACCTCTGTCAAAGTAAATACTCAAGGTGAATAAACAATTTCTCCCATATGAAGCCTAGCATGTCGGCTGACAATCCTTCCCACTACTGCTAATTGACCTTCACATATTGATGTCTAACCTGACTCCTTTCTAATTATCTTGGCGGCATCCCTCTTCAACCAGTTGGATGCTGACATTAACATGCTGTAATATCAAGCATGTTTATCGTTCCAACAATATATATATAAGAAAATCAAGTGATTGATGGAGCTAAAATTGCAAACTTGTTGTTTCGATTTCTCAAAAACATTCTCCTATTGCTTTACTTCCCGCTCAGAATCGAAAACCTGCAACATCACTCTAGCCATTTCCAAAATAAACAACTTTTTTTCAGACACCTGATTTTACAGCCAACAGATAACTAGTGACTTACAATACCAAAAAAAAAAAAAAACTCCCTTCCTACCCCCTTTCTCTCTCTAAGCATATTTTCTCCCGAACGTTCATCCTTTTTTACCACTACTGTATTAATAAGAAAGACACCTTCACACGTCCTAAAGAATTCAATATACCCATAGTCGATCCAATTTACAACCATAACGTTTCAGTTCAACCAGTGATTTGTATAAATTTAGCATCTAACATAAAAAAATCATAAAGGCCATACAAAATCTATAATCTGCCAAACCATCTCAAACCAATAAGATAAACGATACAGAGATCCAATTAGAACCCTGAACGAGACGAGCTAATTAACATCCTAATCCAGATAAACACAATCCATGATTCAAAACTAAAAAAAATCACGATTTAAGCTCTAACAGATCGAAAAAATAAAAAATAAAAGCCAACAAATCCAAATCTCCAACCAAATTAAATCCACCGGCTTCAAAGAACAAGCAGCAGAGAACAATTGATGGTGAGAAGAAGATCGAACCTTACGATCGAGAAAAGGAATCGCTGAAGAAGCTAGAGAGATAGAGAGTAAAGTTAAAGGCGGTGAGAGCAAGCAGCGAGCCCTTTCTTCGCAGGAGAAAGGAGGTCGAGGGCTTCTTTGTTTTCGGTAAGAAGAAAAAAATCCCTCCTTTCTTTTCTACTTTCTGATTGGTTTCCGAATTATTTTACGGTGGAAAAGTAGACGTATGACGGCCACTATTTTTATGCACGCGCTCCGCATAAAAAGGCTCTAACTTACGACCAGATCAGACTTTTACCTCATGTAATCTTGCACGTGGTACTATGGACGGTTGGATTCGTACGACATTTATGCGGGTATGTAGATTGGTGGCGCTTGGTATGATGGGTGTTATGAAAGGGGGAATAATTCATGTGATGGACATAATTTAAGAAAAATGACTCATCTCATTTAATTTCATATAATATTTTAAGTTAGGATAATGTTTACATGGAGAGCTAATTCCATTATCAAATGAATTTTACTATGAAAGTGATTTATATAAATAGAACTTATATATTAAATATTTAAATTGTATTATTATTATTATTATTATGTTCATAATTTAAATAATATAAAAATAACATTATGACTGTCTTCAGTGTTACAATTCTAAATATTTTGACAATTCTTAATACAAATAAAAAAAAATTTTTTTGGAGGGGTGGCACGTGCCCCCCCTCCCTCCGCCTATGGTCACAACATCGAGAACCACTACAAAAAAATAACTTATTATTAATGCATTTGAATGTTTTAAACCGATTTCTTGTAGAAAATTTTATGCCGGTAAAACCTAACCCTGCTTAAGCGCTGCACTTGCATGCAAGATTCAAACCACAACCTAAAAAATCTTTAAACACTTAACCACTGCTGAAAAAAAAAGGTGTTATAAAGATTATTCTTTTATATTTGAACTATAATTATATGAAATTAAAATTTATAAATAATTAAAATAAAATATGTAAAACAATAATTAATTAAAATAATTTATTTAAATTAATGACTAATTAATTAAAATAAACTATAAAAATTAAAAATTAATTGAAATCAAATATTAAAATTAATAAAAAATAAATAAAAATATTAAAATTTTATCATTTTATTTAAATATTTAAATAATTAATTTAAATTAGTTAATATTATTAGGCTTCGTTTGTTTTTTTTGTGCTTTTGTAAAACACAGTTTTAAAAAACATTAATTCAGAAAATGGAGTATTCTAACGGAGAAGCACATTTAAAAAGCATTCTCAAAACTGCAGAAAAATGAGAAAAATGAGTTATTGGGAACATGATTTGACGAACCAAACAACACAAAAAAAAAAATTCCTCCATTTTAGGAAACGGAGAAGGCAAAAAAACACTCAAACAAACAAAGCCTTAGTTTATTTCAAATAGTTTAAATTCTTATTTTGAAATTAAGATTTTTTTTTTAAAATTTATTAAAATCCATCAGAAATACATCTTCAAAAATCCGCTAGAAAAGTCACTAAAAAATCTGTCAAAATATTTCATTGAAATCCATCGAAAATCCACCGAAAACCGTCATAAAATTTCACCGATAATTGATTTTGCAATAGTTAATGTGAACTCCTATTCATTAATGTTTCTATGTTTTGTCTTCCCATAAACCAAATGTAACATTACATATAGTAATAAATCACATCAAACCTTATGAATGATGGGATTATTATGAATGAAAAACAGAGAGAGGTGGCTGCAAATGCTGCAGAGAAAGTGAAGATAATAAAAAGAGGGCCGCTTGCATATCAAGTGAGAAATTATCAAATCGTAATGAAATTTTGCAAACCAGAAGACTAGAATTCGCAAGTTCTGTACTTGGTTTCTGAAGTTTCTGAAGAATTGCTCCAGGAGTAGTGAATATGGCCGGCGGCGACGGAGATGCTCGGTTTCTTTACTGTGTAAGGGTATGTAAAATGGCTTGAGCGCTCGTTGATGAAGACGACGACGGAGATCGCGAGAGAAGGGTCGTAATGGCTGAAGTGAATTCTCCTTCTGAGAACGAATGAGACGGTTTTAATAAGCCATTTGGGCGGTTATGCGATGGGAGAAGCGGGAACAGTTGCAAAGTAAAAATTAGTTTCAAATTTATTCAAAATTTAGCAAATCTCGTTTAAATTGTGAGCTTTTTGCGCGTCAAATTTAAGCGGGTTTTCAATAAATCAAATGAATCAAGTATTCGATTAATTTCTTAGACCAAAATTTAAATTAAGATTTAAGTTAAATTGATTAATTAGATCATATCAATAACTTGCATTAATTAAACTCATCGATCGTTAGATGCTAAATTGCAATCGTGATGGAACGTATGATCGAGGCTCATGATCATGGTGACATGCACGTGATCTAGTGATGATGGCGGTTTCAATGAGGTGCACTCGATCGCAGTGAGGCGCACACAATCGAGATCGTGACGATTTGTACCAATCAAGAGACGATTGTAACCGAGGCGAGGCGCATACAATCAAGCGATAATCGCAATCGTAGCGAGATGTGCATGATCTAGAGGAACAAAAGTGATATTTACAACTAGGATGCAAGCCTAATTAATCGAGAATTTCTAGTCCAAATTGTTTGAGTTTGTGGGCTCCACGACAACTAAATCAAGATATTCGAGACTCCGGGCCCGAGAGGGCAACCAAGGGGTGTGTGTGCAATGGTAAGGCTCGAGCACGACGAATATGAGGTCAACAAGAGGAAACGACGAGAGCAAGAGGGATAGAATGGGTAAAGGGACATGATCAAGAGAAAGGGAGAGACAACAAAAAGAATATGATGTTCATTATATTAATATAAGACCTCGTGATTGACCACTATATACATTATTAAATTTGAACTCATTTAGATTTATCATTTGTTTTGTAAATAATTTGAATGCTTATATCATTTTTTATTCATTGTTTATTTGTTTTCATTTGTTTGAATTTGACTCATTTTCATGCATAAGTTGAATGAACCAACACAAATATGATGTTCATAAATAATTTCAAACACAAATCAAATTCAATCAAACAAAAATTCTAATTAGTCAAATACGAACATGACAAGCTTGTTCAAGCTCAAGCTCGGCTCGTTTACACCCCAACTTGCAGCAACTGCCACCCAAGCCAATAGGCCCCCATATATGTTGCGACTCGAGCTCACAAGTTTATATTTTTATAATAATAAACATTATAGCTCACATCTTTATATTTTATAGTATTTTTAATTATATACTTATTTTGTATGTGTACTAATATTTCAAGAAAATCATACTCCATACCACCGAAGACTTCAAAACATATTAGATTAGGGTTTCTTATAATGAAGTCGGTAATTTTTCTATTTTTCTTAAGTATGAGATAGTGTGGTTGTAAATGGGTAATCATGCACACACACATTAGGGGAGTGAGTCGGAACTTTATATTTGTTTAAATAGTTCATACTGTATGATATATTTTTCATATACATACGACTCACAGAGTACGAAATGAGGTCGTACATAATTGTATCAGACGAACTTGTTTAGTTTTTGAACTGTTCGTACAATACGATGTCAGTTCGTACAGACGACTGATAGAGTACGAAAATCAGGTTTGTACAGGATTATACATAGATTTTTGAACTGTTCGTACGGGACGATATACATTTCATACGGATAACAAAATTGAGTTTGTACCAGTTCGTACATACAAATTTGAATTGTTCGTATGAGACGTTATACGTTCGTATGGATGGATCCTACCGGACTATATGTGATCGTACAGTACGATTGTATGACAATTTTCTTATAATTTTTAGTTTTTTTATTATTTTTCATATCATTTCTATATAAAGAGTCCTAAAAACTGTCACTAAATGTCTTTGTTGTGAATTTCTCTTGAGAGTGGCATTGAGTGTGAGTATTTGGGAGAGATTGTGAGAGTGAAGTGTGATAGACCAAGTGAGAAGGAGTTGTGAGAGATTCACAAGGTTGCCCAAATTGAGGATCTCTTTGTCTCCTTCAAATTTCTGTCCATCTCCTCTGGAGGCTCTTAAGTGAAGTTCTTCAATATAGGTCGCGGGTTTTCTACCTTCACCAGGAGTGTGAAAAAGGATGATGTTCTCTGCCTTCACCATGAGGGTAAAGGATGACGGTTCTCTACCTTCACCAAGAGGGAGAAAAAGGACGACGGTTCTCTGTCTTCACCAGGGAGGGTGAAAAAGAATGGTTGTTCTTTGTCACACGGGGTTGGTGGGAGAGAGTATGTAAGGGCTTCTCCAGCTTGCTTTGGGAGCAAAAGGATAGTCACTATTGTTTAATGCAATACCTGAAGAAAGAGTATTCAGGGAGTGGACGTAGGTCTAGTTGGACCGAACCACTATAAAATTTGGTATTCTTCTGCTCACTTTTATTTTCCGCATTTTATTTTACTCACTTTAATGTTTATGGTTGAATTTTTTTTGTGAAAATCGTATTCAAACAACTGCATATTTTAAGAATCAGAGATTTAATTTTCTAGAAACGGTTTTCAAAAATTCCAAGAAATTTGTAAATAACCAATTCACCTCTCTCTTGGTTAGCATTGGGACAATTGTTTTAGGTATAACAACCTATTCAGACTTTCAATATATTCTCTTTATAAACCATCGAATCATACCCTCCAATCATCTCGAAATGAGTCAAACTTAACATAATTTGGCCACCTATATTTGAACTATCTGGAGCTCTTGTAACCTCTACAACAACGAATTCATAAGCCATTTTGGTGGCATTGCATTGCCCTTGGGAAGGTGAACAATTTGCCTTATAAAATGCCAATTTTTCATTATCTTAAGCCAAATCAAATGACAACAAATTCTTAGACTTCATCCAACATTTATACATAATCAATAAATCGGATCTCATAAATTTTGAGTATCATTATGATTTTATAGATATTTGATTCATGAGCCATTTATGATGTTGATCTACCCTCGAAGAGAAGAACATTTAATGAAAAAATTTTGACCATTTGATAACTGATATGTACTTTTATTTTATGGTTTTTAGTTAAAAGAGCTAAATAATGTCCCCCTCTAAAAATTTAAAATAATTTTGTTTCTACCTATTTATGATAAATTTTGGTAGAGATATTAGAGAGAATTATAGAGCTTCGATAACT